GATCAAAATGCGAGGATTTGAAATCTAGCCCATGCAGTCCTCATGCTTATACAAGCTTTCGCTTCTCAATATATATATATATATATTACGTCTTCGAATCAAGTAACCAGTTGTAAGTTACGTTTAAAAACGTGAGATTTACAAGTGCATTTATAATCTTAAAAATAGTATTACTACACACATTTAGTACACAATAGTAGTATTACACACAGTTTAAGCCAGCGCTGGGGTTTTTCCTGACATATGCTTGTAATAACCAGTCAGGCAATGCTAGACATTATCATTATTACTATTATTATTTTACTTTATTATTATTGTTAGTGTTATTGTTCGTGCTGTGGCTTAATTATCGTCCAAAAATGCTGCTAGTTATATTATGGACTTGCGCGTTTTAATCACTGATCTCAAGGCTAGGTAGGAGTGGATAGTGCGTCCACTATGCATAAACGAAACCAATGGTAGCCATATTGGTTGGGACCAGAAATTAACGTTTTACGGTTTCTAGTTATCGGTGGGATAGAATAAACATTGTCTAATTAAAAATGTATCAATAGTAGCTTTTCTTCCCTTTTAAATTTGCCCGTGAATAACTAATCGGAGGTCACATCAAGATGGCTGCCACAACGGTGTCATTATCTAGTGTTTAAAACGTTCTAAAACTCATTGGAAGAAATATGAGAAGCTATATCTTTCATGTTACATGGGAAAAGATATTCGCTTGATACTGTCTCTAATTTAAGCACTTCGCAATCCAATTGACAGAGTTTAAAATCTCATCTCATTATAAATATTCAGGCTTCAAAATTGGCTGATTGGATTCAAAAGGATGCTTTATCCAGTCGCATTTTGTGTTTTAGGTCGTGCTAACTGGCGGTTTGTCTGATGAAAAATGCATGGCCAACTGGCGGTTCTTCTGGTGGTATATGGTAATCAGAATAATATAATACCGATAAAATAGCACCTAAGATTACGCCTATTATAACAAGCGAGAGCGCAATTGGACGCATTACACTCATATGCGTGACGCCAGGCATAACAACTACTACTATCACTGTCGATAAAATGTTCTCCACAGATAGTAGAGCGTACAAATAAGAATAGGGAATCTTTGAATCCATCTCCAGCCAGTGGTAGTAAATCTCTGTTGGATGAAAAAAGTACGGATAGGCAAGTACATTAATGTAGGGGGAAAAAAATAAAAGCCAACAACAACACATAGGACAACAATCCTTGAACACCATCATGAAACAGCAATTCATTATTACCAAATGGATAGCGAGAAAAATTGCAACTAACTCGTTCAGCGCGTAAGCAAAGATTACAATTGCAGAAAGTCGGGACAGCAAGGTAAACACTTGAGAAGTGAAAAACACAACTGTGTGAGGTAGCAGTTTGAATTTATGGCCATCTTTCGTTACTCTCGCTTTCTCGAGAGTGGTAATACTTAGAGCTAAGGAGAAAAATGAAAATACCGCAGAGGTCACGGTGAGCCTTGGAAAATTCCACCGGACTAACATGATGGAAACCTGAAGACACCATTGAGGAGCAGATTCTGCGATGGTTTCAACATAACGTAACCAAGCAAAGTTGTATGCTGACTCATTAGACTCTTTTATTGCCTTACGATAATTTTCGCAATTCGCACAACTGCATTCTTCATAGTTCTCTTGACACGGGGAGTTATCGCAATGTCTTCGCTTCCAATGTTGATACTCTTCAACATAACGCCAAATTAAGGAAGAAAGTAAACACTGTAGAGAAGCGATTAGTCGTTGGCAACCGGTCTGTTCTTTTTTTTGAAAGGCAGCCATGATGCTGATGACAACGTAAGGAGCGAGAATAAAAAGTAATGTTAATCTAAACCAAAGAGTCTCACATTGACGATTATACTCGACAGCGAGTCTTATATCTGTGCCAATGTCGATCACGAAAAACACGAAGCCGACGAACAGCATGCCAAATTCTACCTCTTTTCCCTGTCGAATAAAAACATAAAACACTGTCATCTACATGCAGGTTGTATAAAAATCTGCACGGTTCGAAATTGACCGCTATAAAGCCGTGCAATTTCCGCAAGAAATTGTGAAAACTTTATCCATACGTGGGTTGTTTGGGGTCTGCTAGTATCTTCACCACTAAAATCTTTTTCAAAAGTAAATTTTTTGGTGCAGGAGGGTTGTTTTTAAAAACCACTTTAAAAATGACTTGCACACAAAAATGAAAGGCTTAAAACGCAACGACAGTTGAAACGTGCAGGCCCACCGAGGGGATAATTTATCATATGGCTGACTGATTTGATGCATGATTGATTATCCTACATAGTTACTCTTTACAATATTTTGATAGTTCATAAACATCTTCTAAATTTGCTCTCTGTCAATTCAAATTGCGTTTTAAGCCCTCCATTTTTGTGTGGAAGCATGCATTTGTGAAGTGGTTTTTAAAAACAACTCCCGCACAGTCGAAAATTTACTTTTCATAATAATTTTGGTGATAAAGATACTAGCAGACCCCAAACAACCCATCCTTGCATAAAGTTTTCACAAATTTTGCGGAATTTGCAGTTTAGCTTAGCGGACATTATTTATTCACCCTGTGTATGTATCTTAATTCTATTTAGACTGTACTGTACACTTATATATAGGCGTATAGCGTGGCGACAAATGTCCTCAGTGATATATGAATTCGCAAACGAACTTCTTGCGCTCGAAAGACAAAGATGTTCCCAGAAATGTCGACACTTCTGTGATTTAACAAATAAATTAAACTGTGTTTCGTATATATACATACAACAATCAACAATCTGGTTTTCCATTGACCACTTTACCAAAAGTTTTTATAACCAACCAAACCAAATCTTATGCATATATATATATATATATATATATATAT